CTGGGCTTCCGCATGCGCAGGAACGCCTTCTCCGTCTACATCCTCAACCTGGCCGGGGCCGACTTCCTCCTCCTCTGCTTCCTGATGATAGAATCCCTGAATAAACTCATCAAGGTCTTCCATTATCCCTTCTTCATCCCTAACGTGTTCCACATTGTGTTGACTTTTTCCTACCTTGCCGGGCTGTATATGCTGAGCACCACCAGCACCGAGCGCTGCCTGTCGGTCCTGTGGCCCATCTGGTACCGCTGCCACCCCCCGAGACACACATCAGCTGTTGTGTGTGGCCTGCTCTGGGCCCTGGCCCTGCTGCTGTGCACCCTGGATCTCTTGTGTCAATTTTGGGACATTGGTGACGATATTTGGTGTAGGACATCTCGAATCATCATAAAAGCATGGCTGGGTGTTTTCCTTTGGCTCTCTGTGGCTCCAGCCTGGCCCTGCTCGTCAGATTCCTATGTGGTTCCCAGCAGATGCGGATCACCAGGCTGTATGTGACATACACAGTGCTGGTTTTCCTCGTCTGTGGCCTGCCCTCAGGCATTGTCAGGTTCTCATATTTTTGGATGAAGCTTGACAATGAAGTCCTTTGTTATTTATTTCTAGTTTCCGTGTTCCTGACATCTGTCAACAGCAGTGCCAACCCCATCATTTACTTCTTTGGGGGCTCCTTTAGGCAGCGGTGGCAGGAAGGGCAGCAGACCCTCCAGCAGGTTCTCCAGCGGGCTCTGCAGGACACTCCTGAGGTGGATGAACGTGGGGGCAGCCTTCCTCAGGGATCCCTGGAGCTGTTGGAAAGCAGATAGGCCAGGGAGGAACAGCCTCTGCCCTGGTCAGTCAGATGTGACTCTGACGGTCAACACGGCCCTGCTGCACTTGACGATTATATGCATTATTCTCAGGCTTATACCTCTGAAATGTCTGAGTGGTTCCCCAATATCTTCAGATAGATTTATTTTTAACCTGGCTTTTCTAGTTTTACTGAGAGAGAGCATTAGTCTGAAAGTAGAATGTCTCCATCCTTCTTGACATTACCAATAAATTTCTCATGTTATCTTCCTCTGAATCTTTCCTATTGAAAACATTTTCTTTGCAATTTTCATTGCAATGGAAAGCATGCCTGTTGAACAACCTAAAATTCTTTTTTATACTTCTTTCTTAACAAGTATAAAATTTCTTGACAGAATTGAAAAAGAATATTCTTTAACTCTCAGAATATGTTCCCTTGAAAATCATGTTCCATTGTGTGATTGGGAGCATTGCCGCAAGTGGAAAACTTGATTCTTAATAAGTGAGTTCTGCTACCTCTAAATATCATTGAGTTCTCAGATATTAGAAAAAATAATGTCTCTAGAGACAGACTGTCTGCCTTCATAAATACATTCTAGGAAACTGGTTTTATGAAAAATCCTCTGCCGTCATTTGTCAATGGCATGGCAAAAAGTTGGTCTTGATTTCTACTAAAGAAAAATATGGTCATCCCCAGGAGAACTGGTAAATCCTTATTTAGGCTTTCTTGACCAAGAGACTAGTGTAGCATCTATAAATATGTCCCATAAACTCCAGGTTCGCCATGGGCAACCACAATATTGGTTTCAAAGTGGAAATTATCTTGAAAATCACTTATTATTAGTTTACAGATTCTTTTATTTCTAGGAGGACTCTGTATACTTCCTGTCTTTGTGCAAATCATTCTGGCTATAACTTTCAGTTAGTTTCATGGCTTTTCCCCATGGGAAGCAAAATTGAAAACATCTGACCTTTTCATGATGATGTCAGTTACATCATGGATATCATAACATTGATAATAACTTAGGGTTGGCCCTGAATTCTGATATGTGCTGCAACCTGGATGAACATTGAGAACATTGTGTTAAGCAACATAAGCCAGACACAAAAGAACGATATTGTAAGTTTAACTCTTATAAGGTATCCAAACTGGGAAAATTGATGGAGACAGAAAATAGATAAGTAGGTACCTACGGATGGGGTATGGGAGAATGAATAATCATTATTTGGTACAGAATTTCAATGTGGGATAATGAAAAGTTCATAAAACAAGTAGTGGTCCTAGTTATACCTTATTGTGAAAATACTTAATGCTGCTGACTTATACATTTAAAATGGATAAAGTAGTAAAATGTATGTTGTGTAAATTTTACATTTTTCAAAAATTATTAATTTAAAAAATTAGGGTCAATGCAGAGTTGAAGACTAATCTGTACCACTGGTTTCTGTTTCAACAAAGAACTCAAGCAGAAGGAGGGGCCACCATGACTCGTTGTGACACAGTGGGCTCTCTGCTGCTCACAGGCCGTGAGGCTGCTCCCCAGATGGACCCTCACAGACGGGAGCTGACAAATAAACTGCGTACACAGGAGATAGTACAAAGCAGCTATGAATGATGAAGTCTACAGTTTTCAAATTTTCCAACCAAATTTCTTGACCACACTTATAACACAGTCAGTATACGGATCAGGTTCCCCGAATCCAGATACGATCCTCTTCCACATCCAGCACTCTGCTGATTTTGTACATTATATGTACACCCTTGATTTCCAAATGCCTTAGTAGGACTTGGCAGCACATGAGGGCTTCCTACAGTGGGAGGTGGCAGGAAGACAGTGCATGCAGCCTGTGCACTTTATGTGATGTCATCAGTTCAGACTAACGGTTATTATCAGAGTCAGCACTGTGAGTCTGTGATGTCATCAATTGTACACTTTTGGCTGAAGATTTTCTCCATCATGAGGAGCTCTGTAGAGAAATTTCACCTGGGCACTGGTTATTTTGACATCAGGGACATTCCTTTTCGGGGTGCCCACAAGAAATCTTAGAGCTCCTGGAGGCTTAGGCTCAGCCCCTGACGCCCAAATGGAACTCACTTGGCATAAGACGTTACTGTATGAGAGCCCTTAGAACATTGAACCTCAATGATTTGTCTTCCTCTCTCCCTCCTCCACCACACTGTCAGGTCTTTAAGAGCAGAGAACATGTCTTTGAATCCCTAGTGCTTGGGACTAGGGCTGGAATTTAGAAGATGCTCAGCAACTATTTTTCTCTAGCAGCTCCCACCTGAAAATCACAGGGTAGTCCAGCATCTTGAAAAGACTGGCTGAGTCACCAGGTCTCACTGTGGCTCCTGCAGGCACCTCCCGCTCAAGAGAGCAGTCAGTGTCCTCTGGAGCTGGTTATTCTGACAAAGGTTCCCTCCCTTTCATTGCAGGTGTGCTCACTGTGCCTGGGGAAGAATGTGCGGGATGCAGGAGTCCGCACATGAGCGGCCTCTTTTCAAGGCCAGTGATGGATTTTCCTCTCAGTTGCCTGTTGTGGAGGAGCACACAGGATATCCAGGAGTGTCCTCCAGGAAGACAGAAAAGATTTGAAAGTCCCTCAGGGCACTTTTTGGGAGCTGTCATCCATGACTGTGTATTTATGCTGAATTCAACAAACATTTCAAGCTAAATTATATATGACCCTAAAGTCTACTTTATTCTTTGGTTATAAAGTGTCACAATACAAGATCGCATTGCTTGACATTGATACCTAGGCTTATAGTTGGCCTAGGTGGACCAGATGGGGTGAGGCTGATGTGTAAATAGACATGGGACAGAGGCCAAGGAATATCTCAGTAAAGAATCATGTTTGAAATGACTCTAGTCTCTGATTTGTCTATAATCCCTGAACAGGAAATCATAGAGCTGCCCGGCATCTTTTTTTTTTTTTTTTGAGACAGATCCTCGTTCTATTGCCTGTGCTAGCGTGCCGTGGCATCAGCTCAGCTCAGAGCAACCTCAAACTCCTGGGCTCAAGGTATCCTCCTGCCTCAGCTTCCCCAGTAGCTGGGACTACAGGCACGCGCCACCACACCCAGCTAATTTTTTCTATTTTTAGTAGACACAGGGTATCACTCTTGCTCAGGACGGTCTCGAACTCCTGAGCTCAAACAATCATCCTGCCTCAGCCTCCCAGAGTGCTAGGATTACAGGAATGAGCCACCGCGCCCAGTCCCCATCCAGCATCTTGATAAGATTCCCATGGTCACCAGCTTCCCTTCAGCTCCTGTAGGAATCTCCTCAATTAGGGGACACAGATGGGTCCTCTGAAATCACTGAATCCCAGAAAGGTTCTTCGCCAAAGAATAGGGGAAAGGTAAGGGCTTATAACAAGAATTGTCTTCTTTCCAAAGTCAGTTGAGGTTCTTGCTCTAAGGTGATATCCCAGTGTTTCCACTCAGAGTGCTACATACAGGGGGTCATGGACCTTCCTTCAGGAAAAGGCAAGAGACATGAAGCTTCCTTCTGGAAACTGGGTGCTGGCAGTCCAGACTGTGGGAGTTCCAAATGAGGTAAAACAGAACTTTCTCCCTTCTGATCCATCTGCACAAACTCTGCCCTAATTCCAACCATTCGAGTCTGCTGTCATGGAGAGAATGGTGCCTCTCCCATTCGTTTAAGGAGCATGAGAATATGCAGGCATTGCTTCTCAGAGCTGAACTGCTATAAACCTGAGTTGCATTGTTTTACTTACTTTTCAAAGTTATTCTCCTTGACATATCTGGAAAAGCCCAAGGAAGAAACACATAGTCCAAACAGAAATAACTGAAGAAAACTTTGTGCAGGCACAATTGACAAAGATGGGCAGGCTAAGGGAAAGTGACAATGCAGGGGGATGCACCCCAAGGCAGCACTAGTGAAGCACTGTTTCCACCTCTAGGCTTAAAGGGACAAGGGTGCAGCAGTGACCACTGAGAACATAGCATAGCTGAGGCTGTTGAGGTAGGAGAGGAGACCAGGCAGTTGGAGACACCCTGCCATCACCAACACACAGCCAAATGGGCAGAGAGCCAGGGAGGGGAAATGCAAAGTGCTCTCCTCCTGCCCTCCAGTCTCCTGGTGGGGTCTCCCAGTGGCTTGATTCAACCAGAAACCAGGAGAAAAAGGATCCCACTGATGAGGTGCATACAGGCCACCCCTAGCGATGCCAAACAGGCTACAGAAGGATGGAAAGGGAATCCTCATGGCAAACGAGATTAAGCCTCACACCTGCTTATATCCTTCTACTTCCCGGGGTTTCCTCTATCTAAGTGTCATTGAATCTCGTCTCAACTCAACTCTGTCAGAGTTATTTTTTTTCTGTTTGCACCTTCTTTCTCTAGTGCCACTTTTAAGGAGAAACACCACATTCCTAAAAAGCAACTAGTAAACGAAATGTAATTTTTAAAAGAGAAAACATACACCTCTTGGCTAGAGTATAAATTTGTTTGATCTAATAAAGACCCAAAATAGAAATATTTTAAACAAAATACAAAACCATGTATCCATGGGTTCCGCATCCATGAGTCAGCCAACCTCAGATCGAAAGTATTTGAAATTAAAAAAAGAATGGCTGAGTCTGTATTGAACAGGTACAAACTTTTTTCCCTAAAAATATATTGTAACAACTATTTACATGATATTTACATTGTATTAGGTGTTTTAAGTAATCTAGAAATGACGTGGAGTATACAGGAGAATGTGTGTAGGTTATATGCAAATACACCGTTCAATGTAAGAACTTGAGCATTTGCAGATTTTTGAGTCTGCAGGGCTCCTGGAACAAATCCCCTATAGATACCGAAGAATGACTGTTTTTCAGACCTGAGCTGGAGGCTCCAAGGCATGATACATTAGGACTCCAAAAATTGTTACTTCCCGATTCCTAGAGAGGTGCCCTCATCCTCGTGGCTCTGTGAGTCCAGCCACATCGGTATTCCTGCCTGGCGGAGGAGGATGAAGGGGAGGGAAAACTGTGTTCCTTCTATTAA